TTGCCTAAATTATTTCCCTCAAATGACAGTCCCTGGGACCCCTTGATCAAGAGTTTTAATTTTTCTATTGGTAGTGTTTCTTTGGTGGTTTTCAGTCCTCTAAGAAACTGTTCCACTTACTTTATGCTGTTTTGCAATGGTGTCTATCAAAAAGTTTGTTCTAACATTATCAACATTCGGAACCAAAATCGAAGAATACTCAGGAAGGCTGTCGGTTGGATAGTAGTATGGCAGGACTTTCTTATTCCAATGCTCCCAATCACCTAAACAACACACAAAATGCCATCTTGATCAAACTGTGTTCTTTGAACATTATCTCAGAATCCCCGCCCCCCAAAAATGCAAGTGTTCCAAGCAATGACCAGAACAAAAGCATATGAACATTTCAAACATGTTCTTAAAACATGTCAAAAGATGTGTGCATTAGATCGTTTACATTTGTGTAGACCCTTTCACAATGTCAGCTTTTAGACTGATTAGTCATTCTAAAGATCACTGAGGCCAAGAAAGCTCTGGCCTCAAATGGAATTTGAACCAGCTGGTTATAGGAGTGGCGTAATGGGTGTCTAGTAAGATCACAATAAGTATCCTTACAAGAAAGGGATACTAAAGCCTGGCATAGACTGTTTTCCAGGAGAAATGCGAAAAAGAAACCTTGCCCCAAGATTGCAAGTTAGGAAAATCGAGTGCCTTAAGGATGTGGATGGAGCAAAACTTAAGGGCCTTTTGTCAACATTAGGCCTTATTACTATTAATCCTTTTCATCTTAACCATTCTAGTGCCCGTGTTTCTGACTCAGGGCGGCCCCTTAGGGCAGGGTAGAACCACCCCTGTGGACGTCTCCTCCTCATCAAACCCTTGCCTTTTTGATGTATACACCACCTTTCTTCTTCTTTGTTCTTGCTTATAACAATGGTGATATTAAATATTTATCTTTGTAAGGTTGACTGAGTTTGCTAAGTATAATTTAGTTCACTGGTTTTGACCGGGGCGTCTTGCAGTGTTGAAGAGCTACTAAAATCCTAAGAACGAGTAGATCTCTCTCTATACTCAGTTGCCATGCCTATACATAGAATCCTCGAAAACTGTGTTAGAAGTAATGAGTTTAGTTAGCAAAGCCCAGGTGACTGGGGTTTTCTTTGTGGGAAGGACTTCAACGATGAACCCAATGTCTTGAGTAGACATTAGGATATCTAATTCTCGATGAAGCATGGTAGCTTGTATCTTTTAAATGTTCTGTGTGTGGTTCATCTGTATGGCAAATAGATCAACACAGAGTTGTCTAATGTGTTCAGTGTGTGGGACCCACACTGGTGTCCCTGCTCCCACTTCTGAGAATGGTTTTCCTTTCTCCTGCCTTTTGCTCCAGGAAGGTACTAATTTCACGTATTCTCCTCAAGGAATCGTCTCTTGGTTTTATTGATCTTGTTTTTATATACTGCTCTTCTATTTCATTAATTTCTGCCTTAAGCATCAGGCTCTCTTCTGCTTGGTTTAGGTTTGATTCTTTTTTTCCACCTTAGTTTATTAAGTAAGAAGCTGAGCTCATTGTTCTGAAACCTGTCTTCATTCTTAATGTGAGCACTGAATGCTGTACACTCCCCACTACTCGCATTTGTTTTATGGCCCAGAATGTTTGGGTGAATGTTCTTGGTGATCTTGAAAAGAATGTGTCTTCTGCAGCTTAAGGGGTCCTGGTGATGTAGTGGTTACCCGCTGGTGGGGTCAGGGGGGAAAGGAGCTTTTTTTGAGCCCATACCAAGGGCTCAAGTGAATGAAAATATTTTGGAAATGTGATGGCCACATATGTACAAGTGTGCTTAATACAACTGAATGATGGATTGTCGTAGGATTTGTAAGTGCCCCTCAATAAAATGATTAATAATATTTTTTTAAAAACAGTTACAATTTCAGAAACCCACAGAGGGTTGCTATGAATCAGCACTGACTCGATGACCGTGAGTGAGTGAGAGAGTGAGTGAGTGAGTGGAGTGAGCGAGAGAGTGAGTGAGTGAGTGAGTGAGTGGAGTGAGTGAGAGAGTGAGTGAGTGAGTGTGAGTGGAGTGAGGCAGTGAGTGAG